ACACAAACTACTACAAAGACAGACAAAAATATTACAATGAGAAAAAAACACTGGAAACACAAAAAAGTAAAAGCTAGCAGAGAAACAGATAAAAACAACATCAAGGAAACACAAAACTACCTCCAACAGAGACTGAACAAGTCATGTGATGGAGCGGGTCGTCCCCTGATGGCAAGGTTGGCGGGTCGATCCCCGGTTCCCCCCACATGCCGAAGTGTCCACACACTGAACCCCACATGGCTCCCAATGGCAGCGCCTCGCTTGTGTCGCCACTGGTGTGTGAATGTGTGTGAATGTGTGTGAATGTGTGTGAATGTGTGTGAATGAGAGACATTGTAAAGCGCTTTGAGTGCCACAAAGGCAGAAGAGCGCTGTATAGTGCAGACCATTTACAAAGACACACTAAATGACTGATAAACATCGTCTGCAAAGAGCCACAGAAATACACAAAACAGCTGCAAAGAGACAAAAAAATACACAAGAAGAACAACAAAAACAGGACAAAACAACCACAAAGACTCACAAGACGACTGCAAAGTGACGGAAAATCACCACAAAGAGACACGAAACCACCGCAGAGAGTCCAAACAACAGCGACTACACATGAAACTATCACAGGAAGTGACAGGCGACGGCAACGACGCACAAAACGACAACAAAAATAAACAAAACAACAACAGAGACACAGAAAACTACCACAAAAGTAAACAAAACACACAACTACCAAAAAAAGAGGCTAAACAACTCCAAAGACACACAAAAACACCACAGGGAGACCAAATAACTGCAAAGAGGCACAAAAGTACCACGAAAAGAGACAAAAAAACAACAAAGACTCACTAAACTACCACAAAGAGACTAAAAGTACACAAACACACACAGACCCACTGCAGAGACGGACCAAAGGAGCTGCTCTGAACAGAGCAGCAGCAAACAGACGCAGCTTCGTCTCCATCAGGTGTGAAGCTCCTCTCTTCAGGTGTGATCCACTTGATCAGGTATTGATTATGTGCTGCTGTCGCCGAGTCCCTGAGCTTTCTGCTCACACGCTGTGGGCTTCGTTCTCACCTGAATCTTGCGTCTGACTCGCTCCAGACCCCATCAGGCTTCATGAACATGGTCCTGGCATGCCGGTCCGTCTCCTCTGCAGCACATTAGGCCGCCGCCGCCGCCGCTGGTCGCTGTGCTGCGTGACCGCCGCTAATCCTGTGAACGCTCAGACAGGCAGCAGTGGTGAGGAGGAGGAGGAGGAGGAGGAGGAGGAGGAGGCTGGATTTAAAGGGCAGGCGAGGACACGCAGGGAGAGCTGCAGCACAAAACACAAAACCACTGGAAATGACCTGACAGGGACGAACATGACCGCCAACAGACTCACACACCTCCAGCATGAAACACAAAAGGCACAAGATGACTGCAGTAAACAGCAAAGAGACACAAAACCACTGCAGACACACACAGGACGAATAAAATAAAATAACCGCATAGAAACACTGACGGAGACACACAGAGACCAACACTGTGTGCAAATCCAACACAAAAAGAGCAAAAACAAACTGCAAAGAGACACAAAACCAGAAGAGACAAAATTAAACACAAAATGACCAAAAACAAACACGAATGATGGGAAGGAAACATGAAATAGAAACCCAGCCACCACCAAGAAACACAAAAGAAACAACAGCTGACTTCAAAGGGACGCAAAAGTATTGAAAACCAACAAAAGAACAACTGCAAAGAGGAACAGAATGACTCACAAACACACAAAACTACCACAAAAATACAGAAAATGACCCGAATGAGGCACATGACGACACAAAGAGAGCAGGAGACGACCAACGGATACACAACTAGTGTTAAAAGAGACTAAAACAAACACAAAAGCACCACAACACGACACTAAAGAGACACAAAGTGATGCTAAATGAGCACAGACAGACACAACAACAGCAGACGGAGCCCAGATGACTGAGAACAGAGCCAGCAATGGATGAAGATGACTGCAGACACCAGGTCTGGACGGAGACATGACGGATGTACAGGGGCAGCAGGAACTCAGACGTCACTGGAACGAGTCCGAGAGACGACAACTGATAAAAGATGAAATGATGAGATCAGTGTGAAAAAGAGTGAAATCAGTCTGCTGCTGGAGCCCATCAGGAAGGTTTATATGTTTATTCAACAACACACAGTGATTAACAGAGGGACAGCTAACGGCTAACAGCATGGCTAACAGCACGCTAACAGCTTATGGCTAACAGCTAGCGGCTTACAGCACGGCTAACAGTTTGCTGTTAGCTGTTAGCCATGTTGTTAGCCGCTAGCCTTTAGCTGTTAGCCGTTACCGGTACAGCTAACAGCACGGCTAATGGCTAATAGGTAACGGCTAACAGTACAGCTAAGTGCTAACGACTAACAGTTAACAACTAACAACTAACGGCTTACAGCACGGCTAACAGCTAATGGTTAACAGCTAACAGCGCACAGAATGGTTAACAGTTACCAACTTACAGCACGGCTAACAGATATTGGCTAACAGCTATCTAACAGCTAATGCTAACAGCTAACTAACAGCTAATGGCTACCAGCTAACCGCGAACAACTAACAGTTAACGGCTACCAGCTAGCTAACGGCTAACAGTTAACAGCTAACGGCTAACAGCTAACGGCTAACAGCTAACGGCTAACAGTTAACAGCTAACGGCTAACAGCTAACGGCTAACAGCTAATGGCTAACAGTTGACAGTTAACGGGTAACGGCTAACAGCTAACGGCTAACAGCTAATGGCTAACAGTTGACAGTTAACGGGTAACGGCTAACAGCTAACCTGAAGTGAACCGTGCAGCTAAAGCAGGAACACACTGCAGAGGGTCAGATGAGTTCATACCAGAAGCTGGTAGAAGGTTTTACCAGGAACATGCAGCTGAGACGTGACTGGAGTTTGGTGAAAAATGAGACGATGCTGATTTAGAACATGTTTAAACAGCGTCATGGAGCCATTCAGGGACGTTACAGAGGCCTCGAGCTACAGCTGGTATCCTGTCAATCAGGGCATCAAATGTCCTCCAAAGTCTAAAACACCTCACAAACAGGAACGTTCATTCTGTCGTGTGCTCTTGTTGTGTTTCTAAAGGTTCCTCGGCCCAGCGCTGGAGATACTCTAACTGCTCTTCCACGTCCTCGTCGTCCGGCTCTGCTTTGAGGGAGAAAAAAAGACTGTGAGTGATTCACAGCTTGAACTGTGTCGTGATGTTCTTTAGCTGCTACCATCTGACTTCCTTTGAACCCTCTGAAGTCCACTGGTGGAGCTCAAAGTCACCTTAGCTTTAAGATGAGACCATCTGTCCGAATGGGACACTGCAGAAACACTGGGAATCAACAGATTGTCCACTTTCCAACGGTCCTTAAACGCATCACGTGCTTCATTCTGCATGTGTCAATTAAAAGAATCACCAAAGAGTCACATTGAGACCAGATTCTCCTAAAATGTTCAAATTCTAAGATGCTCGGCAACTGAGGAGACACACAGAGGAGCCAGGTGGTGGAGATACATCCAGCATGGAGGAACATCTGATAGTGGAACATCTTCCTACATCTGATGGTGGAACATCTTCCTACTGATGGTGGAACATCTTCCTACTGATGGTGGAACATCTTCCTACTGATGGTGGAACATCTTTCTACTGATGGTGGAACATCTTCCTACTGATGGTGGAACATCTTTCTACATCTGATGGTGGAACATCTTTCTACTGATGGTGGAACATCTTCCTACTGATGGTTAATTTTGTTTTGGGTTTTTTCCATTTTCCGTTGAACACATAATAAACTTTTTGACGACAGGAACAAGAACAGAAAACAGCCAGAAGCTGGTTTGGGGTTCAGAGGGTTCAAGAAGTGAACATGAAGCTCCTAAACATGCAGAACGTGGTGATCAGCAGCAGCTGGGTTCATGTTACTCTGATGTTTCCTACCAGGAGGCGACGCCGTGGACACCCGCACAGGAAACGGTTTCTGGTCCAGATTCTCCTGCAGCTTCTCCAGTTCTGCCAGCAGCTCGTCCTGGTCAGAACACAACAAGCACAACGTTTTCATCATGGTGGCAAAGAGATGTGATGGTATCACAGCACAGAGGCTAGTAGGAGGCCGTATGTCAGGCTGATATACTTTCAAAATAAAGGCACACATCTACAAAATATTATAAAAAACATTTATGGTCAAACACTGTGAAAGAACACATTAAACATCTGTAAAAGTCCAGATGTTTAATGTGGACATTATTTATGGTTTTATTTTATTTTTTTGCAGTCAACATCTAAATGAATACTTAGTTTGGGTCACTAACGAGGTTTTGTCTGTAATTAAACAAAAGAGGGAACATCTGTAAAACAGCAGGACATTGTTAAAGAGAAAGTATTCAGTGCAAGTAAACAACAACAACAACAAACACCACCTAAATCTCCTGAAAACCAGATCACACTGCACCTCGTCAAAGTCCACCTCCAGGCCTGCAGCAGAGTGGACGGCGTCTGGAAGCTCCTCGGCCTCGTGATGCTCCTTCATCAGGTCGCTCACCTGCTGGACAAACTCTCTGCAGCACAGACCTCAGTTAATTCACTTTAACGCTGCACTCACAACAGTGTGCACCCAAACAGCACTGATCCTCCCTCATTCTTGACATTTTGTGCTGGTACTTTTCTCTTACATGCTTTTCAGAGCAGCCTTCACGGCCGTCAGAGCGCAGTCGGTGAGCTGGAGGTGTTTCTCGTGACGCATCTTCCTGATCAGCGCCTCCAGAGCCACTGGACACAAAGGGCACATCAGCAGGTGCAAAATACTGAATACATCAAGAGTTCTATTGACTGAAGTTAGTCAGCTGTCCACTAGTTGGCTTTTTCAAGTTATTTTTAGAATTTTCTAAATTTGTCCACAGCTCTGATCAATTCCTGGTAATTCTCTTTGTTTCACATGAATTTGGCATTTTTGAAGATACTCCCATTTCTTTTAGCTCGCTGTTTTAGCTCTGTAATTATCATTACCAGTCATCTTGTAAATATTTATCCACGACTTTTAGCTAAATATTTGTCATACATTTAGCATTTCCTACATTCGATCTCCTACTGTTAGCAAATTAGTCCAACTCTTTGTCCAGCACCTTTTTCCATCTTTATTTACTACTTTTAGCTAACTTAGTTTAACCATTTTTTAAATTTATTTAAAAAAAAAATTTTTTTAAAGATCTTTTTAAAGCTAAAATTATAATTAAATTATAAATTTCATTCATTTCAACAGTTAACTTTAGCGTTTTGAAAAATTATCAGCTAATTTGAACGTTTTAAAACATTTATCCATTACTTTTAGTTAACTGTTTTAACTAGTTAGCATTAGCATTTCAACAATTAGTTTTCGTTGCGTTTTATTATTTGTCCACTACTTTTAGCTTTCAACTAGTTCAGTTATTTAGTAGTTTCCTCTTTTCAACATTTATTTCCAGCATTTTCAAAATGTATTAACTAGTTTTAACTTTTTAAAACATTAATCTCCTACTTTTAGCTATTTTAGCTAGTTAGCATTAGCATTTTCAACATTTTTCCATTACTTTTAGTTAACTGGTTAAACCATTTGTCCATCATTACTAGCCTTTTTTCATATTGATTAACTACTGTTAGCTAACTAGTTTATTTATTCATTATTTTTAATTATTGTCAACTATGTACTTTTTTCTTTTTTTCAACATTTATGCACACTTTTAGCTAGCCAGTTCAAGCACTTATCATTAGCTTTTTCATTATTTTGTCACTACATGTAGCTAACTAGCTCAACAATCTACCCATGAGTTTTTCCCTTTTCAACATTTAACCACTACCACTAATGTTGGCGTTTTTACACACATATGTAATAATTTTACCTCTGTTATATCCATAACTTTTATTTATTTATTTGTCCTGCAGTGTGTTTTAATTACAATACCCGCTAGTTTGCCAACATGCTAATTAGCTTGAACACTAGCTAGCTAGGCTAGCTGGCGCCGCCATTTTATGACTTGTGTATGTTTTATGAAAGAAATTCCCCATTCTCTGAATTATCTCACGTTTTCTGTTCGTTCTAATGTTTTTCTTGGCCGACAGAAGCTCCTGGTCGATCTTTTCCCTCAGAAATTCCCTCTTTTTCAGCAGCTGCTCCTCCGTCTCTGAAAGCTCGCGGACCTCCACCTGTTGGCAGGCCGGCTTCCTCACCGTCTCCCCGCCGCCCAGGGTCCCATTAAAGAGGGCCATGCTGACGGTGCTGGCTCAAACACCGACTAAATGACACAGTGTTCGCCGGCAGAGTGGTTCAGAGTCCCGCTGAACAGTGTTGTTCGCGCCACTGCTACTGATTCTGTACAGTAATAGGCAACACTACGAAATATCATTAATATCATTAAACCAACCCTATTTTGGAAATTTAAACAAGCCGAATTAGCTGTTGCCAACTTATTTTTGTCATGTACTATTGAGTGTACGTACAATTGCCGGTAAATTACTTTGACGATGAGAAAACCTAAAAACGTGAAAATGTCAGGCGGGTTCATCGCTGCCACTGTACAAGCAGCGAACTATACGGCGCTGCAACACGAAGCCCGTCTTTTAGCCCACACATATCATGTAGATTTTGCAAAAAATAAACAGGCCGAATTAACTATTAACTGGTTTATTTTGCTATATCACCAGTGGATTAACTGACAACTACTAGTAAATTACTTGTTTACTGGAGAAACTTTTAAAACGTGAGGATTCTTAAGGAAGTTCTAGAGCAGTCTGGAGTGTCTCCAGATGAATCAGCTCAGTAAGCTGGAGCTGATCTGCTTCAACAAAACGACCAATTAAACACTTTAAAAATCAGATGAAATTACACTAAATCTAGCAACAACACTGATCCAATACTATGATCATGTTTAGCTAACTTTTGGCACTTTAACACGGTTTATCCAGGCCCGTGTAGGGTCATGCTGTGACCTCTAGGTGGCGATGCTCAGTTGAAGGAAGCCGCAACAGCCGAAGAATGAACCGAGAAAGACGAAGAAGAAGAAGAATTCTGCTCACGTGACTGCTGTTGGACCAGGAAGCCACTCGGTTGCATCAAAACAAATCAGACTAGCTTCTGGAGGAGCTGACAAACACGTTACCGGTGAACTTTTAGCGCCATATCCGGGTTGACATGGAAGGTAAGTCGTGTTTCACCGACCGAACAGTCAGTCAGAGGAGATTTTATTCCTGTTTTCAGCTCCGGGACCAACCTAAAGCCAGATAGCTAGCATTAGCCTGTTAGCTCGGGTGTGTGGCTAGCCGGGGCTAGCTGTCAGACCTTGTTGGGATTTTCAGCTCCTTCGTTTGTCACGCAGTCCAACTTTAACTGCGCTTCACAGACTGATTATTTATTTAGTCTTTCGGTCTGGTCTTTTAGCGCTGCCTGTCGTTGAGTCTTTTCTTAACAAGTGACTAATAACTGAGGAATGTGACTCCATCCACAGTCTGAGAAGCAGCTCCGACAGACGTTTCGTCGCTTCTCAGGTTTGTGTTTACGCTAAACGCGACAACATTGATCCAGAACACGCAGCAGCTTTAGCACCAGGGTTAGACTGATTAGTTTTTATCCAGGGTATAGGTAATTTCCTCTTCATTAGAGTTTTATGGAAACTTAAACTGAACTGCAAACAGCACAGGAGTGACAATAAACCCACAGTGGAGGATGTGTCATAACTTTCCATGACTGGCTCACTCTGACTGTCCTTCTGGAAAATATCAGTAAACTTTGTTTACTTTGTGTAAGTGCTGCAACAAATAAACAATCAATTAACTATCAAGGATTACATCAACCAACAAATCAATTAAAGTATTTTTTTAAAGAAAAAACCTTGTGTGTAAAGAAGCAGAACACAAAAAAATAAGTTTAACATCAATACAGGTCCTAATGTACGTTTTCTCCAGCATACAGCAGCGCAACAGGTTGCTCATTAACTCAAACTACAGTCTGGATTGTAGTTGTCGACTGTTAAACTGACTGCCGACTACTCTGATAGTCAGTTCAGTCTGAGCAATTTATTTAAAAATAAAAAAGGAACAACTTGAATGAGAATATTTTCTGGTTTGTTTCCTCCTCTTTGAACGTAAACTGAATATCTGTGGGTTGTGGAAAAAAATTATACAACCACTAATTGATTAACCAAGAAAATTAGCACCCGATTAACTGATGATGTTTTTGTTTTGTTTTTTAGTTTCAGGCCTACTTTATAGTTTTCTCATGTTTAAGTCTGTAAAAGACTTTTTTGCCACTTCTTGTTCTTTGTTTAGCTTTTGGATGATATTTGTGCAATTTTCTGGCAAAGATCATGAATCCAAAACTCCAACAGAACCTTAAGCAGCATGAAATGTTTTATTGTTTTTGTTGATTTTTTTTTTTTTTTTTTATTATCATCTTTTGTATTTGTTTTTTCTGTCTGTTCTCCTTAAATATTGGAGCTTAGATGAAGCAGTACTTGTGTTTAGAGCAGAAAATAATGATTGTTTTCACCGGTGATTAATCTGTCTGTTTCCTTGATTCATGGATTTACAGTTTGTTCTATACAATCTTAGAAAATGGTGAAAAATGTCCAACAGTGGAAGAAACCAGAAAGTATTTACATTTAAATAGCTCCAGTTAGAGGATTTAGACCTCAAACCAACTAAAAGAGCAACAAAACCCAGCAGCTCCACTTGTGTCACGCTGAAGATCATCCCCAACATTGGTTCCTCCTTCTACATAAATGAAAGAGACCAAATTAAAGAGGAAAATAAAAATGTTTTTAGAGATTAAAGTAATGAAATGCTTGAGGAAAGAGAGAAGCACTGAGGGTTATGTTTACTGGCTTTTGCGTTGTTAGAGGTAGAAACAGAACCGTAGCTCAGGGTCTAACCTGTTCAAATGTTCTCCTAAGAACCTGGACCTCAGCCAGGAGGGGTTAGACGCTGATGATGTTTTATCAGCTGCTCTTAGGAACATTCATCACATGTGGTGCTGGTCAGACGTAAAGGAGGCCGCTGTGCTGCACATGATCTCACGTTCTGGTCTGTTTCTGAATATGTTGGCTGTATGTATCCTCACCATCAAGCACAGAGCTGCAGGTCTGAATCAGCACTGAATCCTTGGAAGGGTTTCCTGTCCTCATGTGAGACGTTTGTTAAAGCTGCTGTTGAGTGTGGCTGTCAGAGGACTAATATCACAGCCTACAGGTGTGCAGCAGGTGGTTATTAGCAGAGTAGAAATGTAAATGAATCAGTGTTGTTTTAGTCGGTTAAACCCTCCATCAGCTGTTTACCAGACTCCATTACATGTTCATTACTTCATTATATTACTGGTAGAAGTTGTTTTTAACGATGATATAGGCCCAAAGGAGACACAGATGTCAGAAAGCATTCATGTGTCTCATTATAATAATACTAATAATAATAATAACTGCAGCTGTCGTTGTTCTGGTTGGTTTTCTGTCGTTCTTTGCCTGATACAGCTGTGAAAAAGGCGTTAATGTCATTCTGTGTGACATTAAAAAGGTCTGTGGAGCACTCAGTCAGATTCAGTCTGTGCTGTGGTAGAATCCAGTGGGTCCAGATATCCTGAACGTATCAGTACACCTGCTGTTATAAAGCAGTGGCATGTTGAACACACTCCTCTAACTCCGACTCTCACTGTCTCTCTGCAGACACACTCTTCCAGCTAAAGGTACGTCCCTCTGGAAACCTTTCATTCTTATTAGCCGCACAAATAAATGTGATTGATTCATGAGTTTTCTGTTCGTCTTTGGGTCACAGTTCACGTCCAAGCAGCTCGAGAGACTCGCCAAGAAGGCCGAGAAGGAGTCTGAGAAGGAGCAGGCCAAAGTCAAGAAGGTGAGCGATGTGCTGTGGGCGTGGCTGAAGCTTTGTTCGTGTCACCTCCTCCCGTTATCTTCTGTCTGTGTCTCTACTTTCATCTCCCTTCAAACAGCCCAACGTCTATCAGTCAGGTAGCAGTGAAGTGTTACAACCAGCAGCAGCAGCATCACTGTCTGCTTCGTTAGCTGCTCTGTGTTTAGCACAAGACAACGATGGGAAGCATCCAGACGGTTATCGTCCACATGCTGGCCTTCTGTCTGTCTGAGCAGAGGAATGATGTGCAGGGGGATCTGTAGAGGCTGGGGATGAGGTTTGGGTGTGGCACATTTTTGTTTTTCCAGTCAGTGGCTGCTTTCATTCTGCTAACTTATGGCTGCAGCTCAGGAATCGCTCTCCGTTGCTGAAGATGAGGGCGGAGGCTTTGAGGGAGGAAACACGAGTGGATCTGATGGAGGAGTTTATTACCGGACAGCAGCAGCAGCCCTCTAATCTGTTTATTGATTAGTCAGCTGCTCCAACGGACAGTAAAAGGAGCAGCAGATGCTGAACGCTGTCGGAGAAATACCCAAACAAACAGCAGCCACTCCCAACAGCGTTCAGGCTCCTTCAGACATCAGGAATAAACTCACCGAGCACTGTGTTGCCGTTAGTGTTCACATCAGACGATAGAACAGAGACTTTAACTGATGTGTGATTGTTTTTGAGCCGAATGGATCTCATTTCAGTTCATAAAAGCTTTATAAACATAAAGTAAAGTGAGAATCAAGCCCAGCGACATGGATCCAGAGGTGTAAGAACAGTGAAATGAATAAGATCAAATAAATTGGAATAAAAAGCTAAAAGCTTTTATGTAGAGAGAAGTATGAAGAAGACGTAGAACAAGAATGAGGCTGAGCGCCGAGTACCGAGGAGTAAGAACGGTCAAATGAATAAACAGGAATCAGAATGTGCATAAAGATTTCAAAAACAGTTTGAAGTAGAGATTTAAAATAATCCCACAGTCCAGAAACATGCTGAGGTTAATTGGTGATTGTAAATTGTCCGTAGGTGTGAATGTGAGTGTGCTTGGTTGTCTGTCTCTAAGTGTAGCCCTGTGATAGACTGGTTACCTGTCCAGGTGAACCTGCCTTCACCCTGAGTCAGCTGGGATAGACTCTGCCCCCCTAGTGAGGTTGAAGGTGTGGAGATGATGGATTTAAAATGAGCAGGAAACTGAGATCGGTCCTCACAAGGATAGATGAACACACACTGTTGACCAGCTGGTAGCAGATGAACTGAAGAGTGAAATGTTTTACAGCCGAGTCCAGGTTTTACAGCCGAGTCCAGGTTTTACAGCTGCGTCCAGCTCTTCTATTCAACTCATGCTGGGCTCACATGTTATTGATGTTACTGGTGGTTGTGGGCCGGTGCTGAGCCAGCAGGGGGCAGTGCAGCCTCAGCCTGAACTAGGAGTGGCTCCGTCTTTACTTCCTTAACAGTCGTCTCTGAGCTGCACAGTCATCGGGCCGCCCTGTTCCCGTTCTGAACACATGTTTGATGAGCAGATTACATTCAGCTGGCGGGCTGTACCACCACGGCGCTTTTATTGTGTCGCTCAGATGCTGCTTCCTGTTGAGTCACGGCCGTGTTCAGCTCATGTTCTGTCTGACTGGAGGACGGCGGCTGTTTGTTCCCAGCGCTGCAGAATTCATCATGATTAATGCTAATTTGATGCTGTGCCGTTAATTATGTTTCCTAATGAGGTGGAGCAGACCAGTTGATCCTGAGCGGCCTCTCTGACCTCTCTGACCAGCACACAGCAGCATCATCAGTCTACAGGAGCACACAGAGCTCACACGAAATGTTGCATGAGGTCATACACGTGTTCCTGAAGACATGTATGCACAAGACACGACAACAACACACATTAATGTCAGAGCAGGTTCCAGCGCACGTTCCTCTGAGTGTGAAGAAACAGAAGTAGTGTGACCAGAAGT